TGGGACATAACTTAGTGGTAGAGCATTCCTGGCTTCTATCCCCAGTACTATAAAAACAAAAATAGAAATACCCACCTCATTTATACTAGCCAAATTTTGAAAAGAAACTACATGGTATTTGAACAGAATGTTGTACATTTTTAGAATCTGAGTTGACAAAAGGTACATAATAGTACCATAGCAAGATGAATATAATCAATAGTTCCTGGTCCCATCCAGAGAAATGGCTACTACTGGGATAATGCCACAGTGATACCTCTTGATGGGTCCTGAGGTCATAGATAGCTCTTCTAGTGAATACCAGCTGTGTTCGGGGATGCTGGTTAGAAAAAGTGACATCTGGAAGTGCGGGGTGTTTCTGAGAGAGGAAATGAATCCTGAAATGAAAAGATACGTGAGCCTTGCAGGAAGTGAGAGAAATTCTGTGGGTCTGGGAGGAAATTCTAAGGCATTAAGCTGGAGAGGTAAACAGAGGCCAAATGGAGAGGACCTCTGGGTCTTATCCTGGGCAGCTGTGCCCTGTAGTGATCACTGCAGATCTGTATGTGGAGAATGAAGGCACTAGTTCCAGTATTCAGAGAAGGTCAGGTTGTGTTTGGGTAAGACTGATGAATTTCTACTTTTGCTTAAAAACTTGGCCAGAGATGAAAGTGAGAACTAGATATGAAACAAAACAAAACAAAAATTCAAAGACTCTCAGATTTGCAGTCTTGCCCTCAATATCATCAAAGGAGCAAACAGTGTGAAAATGAGAGTGAAGCCTAAGTATGATATTTTTCAGTCTGAAAAAAAAAATCTGCTTTCTGCTAATTTTATCATAAAGCAGCTGTTTAGTCCCTTTTAATTTGGTTATTTGCTTTTGGTCTGAGACATCTAAACTAATGACATTTGTGCATTTAAGATAGAAGTCAGTTTTTTCCTATTATGTCCAGAAAATGTTTGTTCAGGCTAAAAGTTTCCAGATACGATAAAATAAATTTTATAGTTTGGGATACCTTCTCTTCTAACATCCAAATGAAGCTAATGGTTCTCTCTAAAATTCATGTTGTAGCTTAACTCCAATGCATCAGTATTAAGAGCTATGGCTTTTGGGAGGTGATTAAGGCCTGATTGCCCTATTATTGAGATTCACAACCTTAAAAAAGGGCTCAGAGACTGGGGGCATATGTAGCTCAGTGTTAGAGTGTGTGTTTAGTATGTGCAAGGCCATAGTTTTAATTCTCATCATCATAAAAAATTAAAAATAAAATAAATGGGCTCAGAATTAAAGGGATTGCTCTCTTGCTGTTCTGTCTTCTACTCTGTGAAGACATAGGAATGAGATGCCATCTTAGAAGCCACCTTTGCAAGGCATCTTGGACTTCTCAGTTTCCAGAACTATAAGAAACAAATTCCTATTCTTCATAAATTACCCAAATCTAAGATATTTTGTTCCAGTACAAATAGACCAAGTCATTGACTTTAATGTATCTAGTATATACTTGATAAAACATAAATTTCTCATCTTGAAAGTACAGAGAGATTTTATACAGAAAATAACTTTTTAGTAACTTTCTCATGGCCTATATAAACATCTTACAGCATGAAGTTCAAGAACTTTAGTTTTTCTCCATCCACCTTTTATCTCTTATGGAGTCCCTGCTTGCCTATAATTAAGACCTCTCACTATACTTTGAATTGCAAAACAAAACAGTCACCCAGCCCTGTTTATGACAAAAAGAATTGAAAGCAGAGTCTCAGAGACTCAGTTGTATGCCCATATTCAAAGCAGCATTATTTATAATAGTTGAAAGGTAGAAGCAACCCAAATATCCATCAATCAATAGATGAATGGAAAAGAAAATGATTTCCATGGAATAGTATTCAGCCTTAAAAAGGAAGGGCTGACATGTGCTATAACATGGTTGAGCCTTGGGGACATCATGTTAAATGAAATAAGCCATCATAAAAAGACAAATATAGTGTCATTCCACCTATATGAGATACCAAGGGTAGTCAAAATCATAGAGACAGAAGGTAGAATGTTGGCTACAAGTGACCTGGGGAAAAGGGAGTGGGAAGTTTTTGTTGAATGGATATGCAGTTTCAGTTTTGCAAATGGAAAGTTCTGGAGGTGGACGGTGGTGATGTTTGCACAACAATATGAACGTGTGCTTAGTATCACTGAACTGTGCAATTAAAAAAATGGTGAAGGTAGTAAATTTTAAGTTACATGTATTTTACCATACTTTTTAATATTGGGAGAGTTAATGTGATAAAGCAATACTTGATTATGAAATTCTTATGGAAAATTATTTGTTGATACAATCCAAGAATATTTGAAAAAGGAGTAGCAAAGTCCCAACTGTTTAAATAATACAATAAATAAAATGGATACTCAGGATGATTAACTAAGTCAGTGAATCAAGAGGGGAATCCCTGCCAAAAGGTTGGTGTGTTTTCCTGTGAAATGCTTTGTCTTCCTTAGTTCAAGTCTCTTACTTCTTCAGAAAAATGAGGTCAGTGCTGAGATGCGACATTTCTGATAGGACTCTGTACAAAGGTGCCAGAAAATTAAGTAGGAAGTTTATCTTTTGCCAAAGCCAATATCCATACCTGCCCTGCTTTTCTGGATACACACTTGCAGGCAGTCACGTTGGATGGCTTTCATCTTTCTGTTTTAAAGTGTTTCATCAGCGTAGGAATCTTGATTCACTCTCACATTCACCAATCATCATGGAATGGCTGTTGTGCACAGGCTCAGGGCCGGAGGTACGGTGGCATGATCTGAATAAAGAGAACGCAGGTCCTGACGCTGTGGTTCTTATAGTCTGCTGCATTTATCTGTTGTATCTACAGGTGTCTCGACACCAGGCAACATTAGACAATCAGCTGAACAATGATTACTAAGTAAGCGTTATGTATTAATTACTACTTAGTGATTCCTTAGTAATTGTGAGAAAGGCACCCTTCAGGGTGGCTTTGAGATTTATTGGGCACTGGGGAGACCATGGAAGATCTCCTTTGGAAGGACATTTGATACAAGGTTGGAAGGCTGAGTTTGTGTTAACTTAAAAAGTCCCCTACTGTCCTAGTGGAGTTTACACTGTAGCATTGAGGGAAGGGGGAAGGACAATACACTATGAACAGAATAGACAAGTGATATGGAGGATGAACTTGGCAAAATACAAAGCAAGGTGGGGGGGTGGTCAGAACTGCTGGGGAAGGATTGCAATTCCCAGGCAGGTTATTGAAATACTCTTTCTTGAAAGTATTTACATATAAATAAAGACTTTAGAGTAGTGGTGACCCTCCTAAGGAGGGAAGATAATAAATTAGGTTTCAGATATGTTGATAATGGTTTAGAAACGTTTATACTATATGATATTTATGTGAGCTGTCTAATAGGCTTCTGGGTATAGAAGAATCATAAAGATTGTTGAAACTAGACAAATGAAGTGTTATTACTTATATGCAAGCTGATCATAGATATTAATAAAAATATACTACCCCCCCCAAGAAAAAAAGATCTCCTGTACCTTTTTGTTCTCTTGTTTTTCAGCCTCTTTTACCTGTTTGCTTTCACAAACCTTCTGGGTTATAATAATTTTTTTATAAAATTTTTTTATTTGTTCTTTTTAGATATACTTGACAGTAGAGTGTATTTTGACATACTATACATACATGAAGTATAACTTACTCTAATTAGATCCCATTCTTGTGGTTGTGCATGATGTAGAGACTCATTAGTGGTGTCTTCATATAGGAACATAGGAAAGTTCTGTCAGGTTCATTCTACTCTCTTTCCTATTCCCATCCTCCCTCCCTTCCCTTCATTCCCCTTTGTGTAATCCACTGCTACTATAAAAATAGCCCATAAAGAGAGGTAAGATAATATTGATTATAGCCTTCTTCAATCCAAGAAATGAAACTCCTAAAGGCAAACAGCCTTGTTGTTGATGTTGGTGTTGGATCAAAATTAGAGAAAACTGCCTTTCACAGCTCATATTTGCCACCTTGCTTTTTGTGTTTACAGCAACTCAAGCATCCCAACCTAGTCAACCTCCTGGAGGTCTTCAGGAGGAAGCGGAGGCTTCACCTGGTGTTTGAGTATTGTGACCACACAGTTCTCCATGAGTTGGACAGATACCAAAGAGGGTGAGTGATCTATCCCTTACCAACAAAACAAAGCACAAACACACCAGAATCTGTGAAGGAAAAGCAGAAATGACTCCTGTTAAGACTAGGTTAAGCCGGGCACAGTGGCACACCCATGCAATTGCAGGGACTTGGGATGCTGAGGCAGGATGATTGCAAGTTCAAGACCAGTCTCAGCAACTTACTGAGACCTTGTCTCAAAATAAAAAAAATAAAAATAAAAATAAAAAGGGCTGGGAATATACCTCAGAGGTAGAGTTTTCCCTGCCTGTGTGAGGCCCTGGGTTCAATTTCCAGTACCATAAAAAAAAAAAAAGTGAGTTAATCAAAGAAGGCCTCATGGTGGAGGTAGCCTTGCAGTGGAAATGGGAAGAGTTTAGAGTGGTCAGTAAGGGAAAAGGATATTCCATCCTCTTCTTTTGCTCTGTCCCTGGGAGCTCAGCTTTGGTTGGGGAGAATATGAAGAGTACCTTGTAGATCAGAGTCACAGAATGATCCCTCAATCCCTGGGCACATACATACTTCAGGGACAGGAGGCTGAGGCTCTTCCAACAGCTCTTTCTAGCCTCGGCCAAGGACGCTCTGCCCTGAGGTTGCTGGTTGTAAAGATCTTCCATGACCTCCAAGCAAATGGGATTAAAGTGTCTCATGGTTTGTTAGTGACCATGATACAGGCTTTTCATGTTCAGGAATGTTAATTTACCCAACCAGAGACAGCCAAGAGGACAGACAGCTCCCTTCAGAAAGTCATTGATACAGAATAATTGTGTGTTCAAAGGATAAAACATTTTGTGTTGATATTTGCTCTTTTGACAGCTTGTAAGTGATACTGCAATAAAATTTATAGTATAGTTTTCATGGCTATTTGGGAATAGGGAGATACTACAGGGAGTTTGGTTAGTCATGTTAGGCTGAGTGGCTTGGAACACTGAGGGATCGAAAGCAATTGGGGGGTATTTTTGGCATATAGTTTGAGCAGAATAAAAGAACAGGTGCTTAGAGTTTTGAAAGCAGGTATTTTTAAAGCCAACTAACTAAAATAGGTTACATATGTTTCAGGAAATAGAAGATGCTTTAATATGAAGGTGGGTTTAAAAAGGGAAGGAACAATAGACACTGTGATTAGTCAAAGCCACTTTGTTTCCAAATGAGAAAGTGCCATGGTTTATCAAATACAAGATTTATTTGAGGAACACTATTAAATGAGCAAGTTTGAAAAATAAGATTTATTTTTAACCAGACATACCCATTTATTTGGAAGCTTGAGGATTATTTTTTGTTTCAAAACTAAGTCACTTTCCATTATACTGAATATTTATCAATTCTCCAATTTATTTTAAATGCAATCTCAAATTTTCAGTTGTTATTATTATGAAGTAAATGCTAAATGATGTCAAGCAAAGATTTTGAAATTTATAAGAATCTTTTAATTTTCAAGGTAAGAAATCTCACATCATAAAATAAAACTTTGTAAGTGCATTCACAGTCAAAATTCATCTTGGTCAAGTTGCTTACATTGTCCTCATCTGTAAAAAATGAGAGTTTAGGGTGAAATTTAAGGGGACTTCCAGCTCCATAATGCTATGAATTGATGATCTAGTACTTTAGAGGTCAGGAAACAGATTATCCTTTAGTTTCTCATTTAATCTGTCAGATAATATCAACAGAGAGAAGGAGCTGATGCTGTTGTCTCTGCCTGCTGCCAGTCTGGGTCCTTCTTAGCTTACTACATCACCTCAAGAATGTCCTGTGATCACTTCCTATATTTTCAAAATATAAATTTCTAAAATACAAAGTGACAAGCCATCCCTATATAAAATCCTTGAATAGTTCCTCAGTTCTTACTGGTGTAATGAAGTCTCAATACTAATCCCATTTCTCACTAGTTTGCTCCATAAAACCTAATCCTGCCTCACTAAACCATTTGCACTCTTGGATTTAGGACATGGTATTTTCTCAGCCTGGGTTCCCTGCCTTCTCTATGCCACCTAGAAAACTCCTGCTGTGCTTCAGGTGCAACCCAAGCACAACTCCTTTATGATGTGTGTCAGAACACTGTGGAGAGTCAACAGTCCTTCAGTGTTCTTAGCACCTGGGGTTATTTATATAATAGAGCCCATTTGCCCAAAATTTATAAAATCCTCAAGGGCAAGAGTTGGTTGGGCCTTTCTCACCTGTATATCTCCAGTAACTTCTAGCTGAGTACTTGGCACTCTATACATGCAATACTTGTGGAATGACCTGACTGTATTAGCAAACCAATAAATTTGATACTTATGAAATGATTTCAAAGAATAATCATCATCACAGTGTTTTGATTTGCATTTGAAAATAGTTGCTTTGACTTTAAAACTCTAAATCCTAATATTGTTAAAGGAAATTATAAGTACACTGCTGGAGGAAATTGTCACAATGGCAACATAACCCAGAAGTTCTACTTTTAATAATTTACCATAAGACAATAATGTATATGTGCAAAAGATTTAGCTACCAAAGTATCTATTGTTAAAGTAGTGTTTTAAATGAAAAAGTTGGAAACAATTGAAGTGTAGGATGATAGAAAATTGATATAGCTTTACAAAGTAACATAGTGAAGCCATTAAGAACATGTTTGTGCCGGTAATGATGGTGCATACCTGTAATCCCAGTGGCTCAGGAGGCTGAGCCAGGAGGATCACAAGTTCAAATCCAGCCTCAGCAACTTAGTGAGGCCCTAAGCAATTTAGCAAGACCCTGTTTCAAAATAAAAAAAAATAAAAAATAAAAAGGGTTGGGGATGTGGCTCAGTGGTTAATGATGTGGCCCTGATTTCAATCCTTGGTACCAAAAACAAAACAAAACATAAAAGAACATGCTTGTGCTTAGCATGTGTGAGATCCTAGCACCAAAAAAAAAATCATAACTATTGCTAAAACATACATGGTAGGAAACTGCTTGTGTACAGATACAGATAGGATAACCACTTCTATGAATATTTCTTTAGGGTAAATTCCTAATAACATACAGTTCTCATAAGGGCTTGACCAGTTCCTCACCCTTCACCCATCTTTGTTGTAGCCTTCTGTAGAAATGAAGTCTTGATGAAGGTTGATTGATTGATTGATTGATTGATTAGCAACATCACAAGTGTGAGAAGAACAGCAGTGCAAAGGAGGTCTTCTGTAATTGAGAACGTGTGGGAAGAAATATATGTTCTTTTTTTTAAGATATTTTTTAGTTGTCAGTGAACCTTTATTTTTATGTATTTACTTGTTTGTGTATATGTGGTGCTGAGAATTAAACCCGAGGCCTCACACATGGTAGGCAAGCGCTCTACCACTGAGCTACAACCCCAGCCCCAAGATACATGTTCTTTCTTTAGCATCTCTCCCATCTTAGATTGCTGAAAAGGTGGAGTTTTTGTTTGTTTGTTTGTTTAAAATCAGTTTGATCTCTTCACTTTCATACAGCAGTTGTTTCTCTCTGTTCATTTCAATCCTGTTATCAGGACATAAGGGTCACAACACTGTTATTTTGTGAAACTGTATCGTCAGGAAAAACAGAGCACCTGTTTTCCTCTGCTATCACACCACGATCAACATAGACTTCTGTGACCTCCAAAGATGAAGGGACTTCTCCCCACCAGCAACCAAAAAACCAATTCTGCAGCAGGTAGCAGCTGGATGTTCTTTAATTCAAGTCAGTTCTGAGACAGCAGCAGATCCCACAGGTTAAGGGCTCAGTCTCCAAGATTGCCCCACCCACCACACACACACACACACACACACACACACACACACACACACACACTGTAGATGTCAATCTCAAGCCCCAGGTTGTTTTACCTGTGCTTCTGATGACTATCCATAAATCAGGGCACCATTCTGCCCTTGGACTTGATTAATTTGCTGAAGCAGCATACACAACTCAGGGAAGGACTTACTTAACATTTACTGGTTTATTATAAAGGATATTACAAGTACACAGAGATGTTTAGGGCAAAGTGTGAGAGAAAGTGTGGAATTCCATGTCCTTTCTGGGTGCGCCACCCTCCCGGAAACTTCCGTGTGTTCAGCTATACAGAAGCTCTCCAGACTTTGTCCTTTTGAGTGTTTATGGAGACGTCATTGCATAGGCACAAATACTAATAGACTGGGTGGAGAGCCCAGCCAGACCTGTCTATTTAGATTCTTCTTGGCCTCTTTGTGCAGCATTCCTTCCTCCAAGTTAGAGAACAGGACTCATTTGATATGAGAAGGTTCTTTGACTTATCAGACAAGGTTAGGCCAGAGAATTTCTTTATGGCCAGCTCCCTGACAGAAAGGTGGAGGAAGAGAAGAGGTTTTAATGATCCACCTTGGGGAGGGAGTAATGAGCTAGGTAGGAACCAGGGACAAAAAAAACAAATATATTTTATATGTGTATATAAAAATAATAGTATTGCAGAAATCAACACATAATTCATCTGGGCAGAGGTATGCGAAGCAACTGTAAAAAGAGAATAATTGCTGGGTTTGTCGTATTTGACTGATTGAAGATGTTGTATGTAGTGATAGGCCCTCCTAATGTGGAGACGGGTGTGACTGTTATCCCAGCTTAATGACAGAACCAGTCAAGTTACCTGTCTTCTTGCATCCCAGTTCTTTGCTCACCACAAGGATTAGAAATTGGCTTTCTTTATGGAATTGCCTACAAGGAGAGCATTAGGTGGTACCCAGGACTTGAGCATGAGTGAAAAAGTTGGCTGCAGGTTTTATATATCAGGCTACTTAATTTGTTTAATGCTCACCTGCCACTGTGAAATGGATACTGCCTCCACGTGCTGACAGAATGAAGTGTCTGCAAGCCTGGACACCATGGCAAAGGCAGCCACCTGCCAGCTCCACATTCTCTGTGTCCTGTGACGAGTTCTGTCTTTCATTAATATGCTTTCATATGCATTTCTGTATATGTTGAAATATAATCTTTAGCTGTATTATTGACTTCAGATATTAACATAACATTATGTCTAACCATTCCTCCAATATTGAAGATTGAGGCTGTCTTTAGTGTTTAATGATAAATGATTCTGCTATGAAATTTTCCTACAGATTCTCCCCTTTTCTGTGCTTTTCCTTTATAAGTTCTCAAAATGGAACTTCCAGGTCATTGGTTTTGCCAAAGTGAATGAATTCACCTTATGGCCTATGAAGTGGGTTGATGTATATTTTTCCTTATCATCATGCTAAATTGAGCTCTGTTATTAAAATATTTCATTGTGAATTATATCCAACATATAAGGAAGAAATCATAATCATCCTATCCAAACTCTTAAGAAATAGAGGATGAAAGAATATTTCCCAAGTAATTTTATGAGGCTGCTCTCCACCAAAACCAGATAAGGACATTTCAAAACAAGAAAATGACAGATGAGTATTTCTCATGAATGTAGGTGGAAAGTCCTTAACAAAAGTATTAGCAAATGAAATTCAGCAATATAGCTTAATATAAAAAGAGTGGCATACTATTTCTTTTTTTAAGCAGTTTATTTTTATTTATTTATTTATTTTTTTATGTGTTGCTGAGATTTGAACCCAGGGTCCCGTGCATTAGAGATGAGCACTCTACCACTGAGCCACAACCCCAGCCCTGGTGTATTATTTCTTAAGATATCCTTTTTTAAACATTATCTGTAGGAGTCCTGTTTTGATAGATGAAGATTTAGTCTCTTAAGGCATTATACTCCTGCTTCTCCACTCTAATCCCTCCAAGTAGTTACATTAACATTTTATTAGTTTAATATTCATTATCCCTATTATCATGCCTATTATTGTACCTATGTAAATATTACTTTTAACTGAACATTATGCTACATTATGACTTCATTTTGTACTTTTTTCTCAAATTAATATTTGCCTTTTTAAATTTGTTTAACCTTTTTTGCTTAACCTTTTTTCTTCCCACTCTTTTTTAAAAATATTTTTCGTTGTAGATGGACACATATTTTTATTTTATTTATTTATTTTTATGTGATTCTGAGGATCAAACCCAGTGCCTCACATGTGCTAGGCAAGAGCTCTGCCACTGAGCCACAACCCCAGCCCTCTCCCACTCTTTCAATGGTCTCTCAATACAACTTTGCATAGGATAATCGCATCAGGTAACCCATTAGATCCATCTTTGTTTTCTTTGCAGTACCCTGTCTTTAAGTCCTCTTCTCCTTCTCTCAGGCTTGGTATACTCAAGGCCTACTGTCCAGCTTTCTTCCTGGGACTTCTCTTTACTGTTATTCTTGGAACTCTCTCTGCATTTCTTCATGGTTGGATTCATTACTCTCTGAGTTATCTTAATTTTTTTGATCAAGCACTTCTGTCTCTTAATTGGTTAAAAAGATGGTACAATCACACAGAAATCTAGACTCTAGATATTTCTAATGATACTGCCTCCTACCCTCATGCCTCCTTGGAGTTGATCAGTTAGGACCCATTTATGTTCCTGGGGGTAAAATAAAATTCCTAGTACAGGCAGAGTGAAGTGAGGTCACACTGGTGGAGGACTTGGGAGCTTGCCCCTCTTTAATATCTTCCCATTGGTAGGAGTTGGATTCCATCCTACCTTGCCTAGAAGAAGGATTGTGGAGCTGGGCAATAGCCCAATGGGCTTCAAAGGGATAGCTGTAGCTTTCAATAAGGCAACTGAACTGAAGACCTCAAGGAAGACCACCTGACTACCCATTGTAAGTAGTGCTCAGAAGGTATTGGCAATCCAGGTTGGGTCTGTTAAACTCATCAACTGAGCCTGGTCTCATGGAATTTGCCAGCTTCCCAGATCTAGAAATAGGATCAAGGGAAGCAAGAACATTGCCTTTAGTAATAAACCCAGCCTGGATTGCCAATACCTTCTGAGCACTATTTGCTGAGCAGAGGAACTAGAGATATGACTTGTGTAGGGTTCATCCTCTGATCCCATGGTGGAAGAGAACCAGACCTAGGAGAAAAGCTCAAGCCCTTCTTCCCTCAGAGGTTAAGCTTGAGCTTATATGTGATTATATAGTTCAAATTGGTGTTTGAACTAGCAACCTAGTGGGGGTCTTAAAATTAGTAAAGAATGAGAGAGTGGGACTCCTTCCCTTCATCACTATTCTTCCCTCAGAGCAGGTCCTGCCCCCAGAACCCCCCATGGCCTCCACTTACCACCAGAATGGAAACCAACACTTCAGAATGAAGTGAATTCCTTAGACTCATCAGCATAGGCTACAGTTTTTAAGAACTCTGCCTTAGCCTGGAAGGTGTGGCCAGTCACCCAGACTTTTTGAAGCTCTTAAGCTTGTTTATTACGTATTTTCATATTTAAGATGGCTTAAGTCAGAGGGCACAATGGTGCCAACCCTCGACATGCCTGGCTCTTGAGTCACATTGTTATACTCTGGGCTGGTTTTTTTCCTGTAGTTACCTTGTCATCTCCCTTCACCATCCTGCCAGAGATCCCATTACTTCCCTCTTGTGTTGGGTTTCCAGTTTTCTCACTTCTCACTTCCTCATAATCTTTTATAGTTTACTTCTTCTTTTTGGTGGTGTGCTTCCAGAGAAAGAACATATGAGAGGTACAAGGAAAAAAAAGAAAAAAAGCCAAGACCTTGCCCTTGAAATGTTTGAAAAGTCTTTATTCTGTCATTTGATTTATATTTCCTTCGCATATAGGGTTTTTGGGGTTTTGGTTGAAAATATTCCTTCAACATTTTGAAGGAATTGTTTTAGTGCCTTCAATCTTCTGGGCTATTAGGAAGTAATTTTATTTTTCCATTCCTTTTCAAAGTTCTGTTTCTTCCATTCTTTTTTCCCCCCAGAATCTTGGAGAATCCTCTTTGTTCTCACTGTTTTGGATTATGAAAATTGTGAGTCATGATTTTCATCCATTATTCTGGTACTTGATGGACACTTTCTGAGAAAAAAAAATTAATTGCTTTGTTATTGATTTCCTTTCCTTTGTTTGCTCTATTTTCTTTTTCTAGACCTCTGTTATTTGGGCATTGGACTCGTGCTGGTTCTTCTTTTCTTATGGTACCCTATTCTTATTTTATAGATGCAACAGCTTCTTTTATTCTTCTGAGAATTAATGATTTTTTAAATGCTCTCTTAATCTTCCATAGTTTGTTCAAGATGATTTCTTCTGTTTGTACCTTTCTTATTAGAGGTTTTCTTGGGTGTTATATAATCCCTGGTTGTATGCTCATGGTTAAGAGTAGGGAACTATTGGAAGCTTTGAGCATCACTGTGGAGTCAGTTGTCTAGTTGGGCCATTTACTGGTATGATCCCAGTGTCAGAATCTTCAGATTTTCCCTCCACAATTTCCCTGCAAAAGATTCTCCAGTATTTTGCCTGGAGAATAACTGGGGAGCAGGTTACTGCTAGCTTTCTCACAGTCCCAAGACAGGAGAGAGCTGGGGAATCTTAGCAGTCAGCCCTTGATCTCATTTTCAGAACTGTGTCCATGATCCCAGCTATGCCAAGCTAGTCCATTCCCTCCAGAAAACAAATCTCCAGCTTCCCACTGGGCATGGGAAAGAGTGTTCCCTCTTGGCATAGAGTAGCAGAGGGGATTGGAGGATTTTATTGTTTTCTAAGTAGATTCTACACTCCTCCTTAGTTCTCTACAGAGATCTTGACTGCTGGTACTTAACCTATGGAAGATTATTTGGGGATAAATGATTAGTTCTCCACTTTCTCCTCTCTTGGCTTATATTTCAGCTACTAGAATCTGTTAAGTCACTTATTCATTCAACGGCTTTCTGGATTCCAAAATGTGTTGCTATCGCTTATACTCTGGAAAGTAGTTGAATGACTTGTGGGCTTTTGTCTTTAGAAAAATGTCATCAGTGTATTCTAATCAGGTTTGGGGAGGGGGAGAGATCTGGTGGGCTTGCTTAGTTTGTTATCTTAATTCAGAAGTCCTTTGGAGCACTTTCTGCAGCTGACTGCGGTGACATTGCACTCTCTCCAGCCTCCCTTGCTGGGTCCCCCCTCCTTTTTTAACCTTTGAACATTGAAGAGTTTCAAAACTTACCTTCATTATCTGTATTTACTCCTCAAGTGGCTTCATCCAGTTCTAGGTTCTAAATACCACCAATGTGCTTCTGCTTCTCACATTCACATGTCCAGTGGAGCCTTCCTTCTGAATTCATGGTCACCTTCTCAGAATCCTTTCTTGAAGGTCAATAAGTGCTGCTCCTTCCCTTTCTGACATCCAATCTTTTGGACAGTCCTGGTGGCTGTATTTTTAAAATATCTGGTCACTTCTTACGACTTTAACCCCTACTTCAGATATTTGCTTTCTGAACCACCCTATAGAAGATAGCACCCCTTCCAGCACAGCACTCACTCTCCTGTGTATGTGCTTTAGCGTGGGGAGGGGTTGGTCTATGATTAACAGTGGCCACGTGGTCTCTTTCAGGGACTAGAAATGATGTTTTGTGGTCACCTTTAACATAACTACTCAACAGTTCCCTCTCTGGCGTTTTTTACACACACACACACACACACACACACACACCCCTCCAATTCCCACCCAAAGCCACAGATTATAGCCCTTTTCTCTTCTGAATTTGTAAGTGCCTTCTCCCTCAGGAAAACCTGACCCTGTTATCATTTCAGAGTGTTGCAGCTAAAGGGATCTTAGAATCTGAGGCCCCATGTTACAAAGAAGAAACTGATTAATAAACTGGGCTTACTTGATTTCTGCATTTGAGAATTGTGTAATACTGTACTCAGCATTAAAGGGGCATTAATGATGTGCAATTATTTTTTCTGCTATTATTATTTACTTTCAGATATTTCTTTCTTTCTTCCTTTTTTTTTTTTTTTTTTTTTT